GAGGCCCGCACAGCTCACCTCCGAGTATGATCGTCTACATGTGAGGCCCGTAGATCCTGTAGGGCTCACCTGATACCCTACACCCATACAGAGCCAACCTAGACTAGCAGATTTTGGTGCGCCCTCTCTCCCTGGGGATGATTTGCAACCCCGGAGCTCAATGCCATGCACTATATCTGCCCCAGCCCCTGTAAATTTTGGAGTGTCACCAGCAATAGTTCATTCACAAGTAAATGCTTTAAACACTGGTGTGACTGCTGCCAGACCCCAACCTACATTATTGTATGCTAGTTCCACAAGCACACCTTACCATGCACCCCCATCAGTGTACATCAATCCTGGGGGTAGGCATGCCCAACCCCCAGTACCTGACCATGCCCAGTCTGTGTTGTATGGAGGCGAGAGTACTCCAGCCACACCCCATGGTATGGCTATGCCCAGTGCACTGCAGCACCATAGTGTTCCTGTGTCAATGACTTGTAGTCCTGCCCATCCCGATACCCCTGCCTGCCATTTTGGAAGGGAGGGGGAGAGGATAGCACATGTTCAACCTAACATGTATGGGGCAGCCCACCCGGGATACTATGCTAGTCAGTCAGTCCCGGCTAACCAGGCTTGCAACTTTAGTACACCAATACATTATGGCTCACCTGGTTACCAGGGCACCACACCATACCCAGTTACGGCAGCCACTGGGAGTAAGCCCCGGTATAAGGACCTTAGGTATGATGGTAAGACCAGCTGGAAGGCATTTTTGCACAAGTTCGTTAGGTTATCTCGCAGCCAGCTATGGACAGAGGAGGAGCAGCACGACCAGTTTTGTTTCTGCCTTGAGGGGGCAGCAAGCGAATACTATACCTTGCTGTTGGAAACCAGTAGCCAGCTCCGCCTAGGTGAGATCTTGCAGCGATTTGAGAAGCGTTTCGGCTCCTCTGCCCCAGATCTCACTCATCAACTCAACTTCCAGGCTGCCAATCAGAATCCAGGAGAGTCACTTCGTCAGTGGGCAGACAGGGTGCTGACCTTGGCAACGCGAGCCTTACCTTGTGTGCCGGACGTGCACACACACGCCATACCTAGACTGTGTTATGGAGCTGAGGACCGTGACGCTGGCCTCTATGCGCTCGACGGGCATCCCCGGACTGTGGAGGAAGCGGTGGAGCGAATGCTATACTACCAGCACTCCCGACTCCACAAGCCTAAACCATCGAGGGAAGTAAGAAGGCTGGGTTCTGACCATGACACTAAGAGGGATGATCCTGGGATGGGAAATGTGGATGCTAGGGAGGAGCTTGAAGCCTTCAGGCAGAAAGGATATGCCCCCTTTCCGAAACCTCAGAGGGCTGGTTCCCCGCCATCCAGATGGACGGCTCATAAGCGGAAGCCTTCTGTGTGTTTTAAGTGTGGAGAGGTGGGGCATTTCCATAGAAATTGCCCCACTCGAGCTACAGGGAAGACAGTAGCCACTGATGGGCCGCGGGGTGGAGCCCGGATGAAGGGACCCCTTGGTGAGAGGTATCGTAGGCCTGAGTCCCAGGAGAGGGGACCAAGGAGTGGAAGGCCTGGATCCCAGGGAGGGCCCTCTCAGGCAGTTCGATTTATGAACCCAGAGCAGTCCCCAGAGAGGACAGACTCGGAGAGTAAGGAGCAGGGGGCTAGTCTACCCCCCTCCTGTATGCGGCGCAGGCTAAGGGTCTGCTTTGAGACGCCCCATTCACCAGAGCTATTCTCGGCTGAGGAGGAAGAGGCATCTTTGGACGAGGAAGTGGGGAAGCTTGTTGCCCCCCACTCCACTCCGGAGCCACTTGGACCAGCCCGGGATAGGACTAGGGAGTTTCAGGTCTTTGGGAGGACCAGCCCTGGTAGTTCTGATCAGGTGTCACCCGTGAATGAGGGGAAGGAGACCTTTATACAAACTGGGCAGTCACGCCAATCTCAAGGCTTTGCTGTTAGCCTGTGCGTGCCATGCCTGGAAGTAGAGATGGTGGAGGAGTCTCTATTGGATTCTGCAGTTGAGGATATCGGTGTTACACCTCTCTCCCCAAGACCAGCCCAACCTTCGAATGAGGCGGCCTATGGTCTAGTTTCTGTGGGATCACTGAGTTCTGTGGACAAAGGCCCCACCTTAGAGGTAGATATAGATGGGGTCACGAAGGACCATGTTGCAGAAGTGGGGACAACCCCATTTGATTCTGGCAGTCCCTTGTCATCTGACAGTGCGACACCAGAGGAGAACAGTGCATGTCGTTTATACAGATCAAGGCGGAGGCGTGGGCGACGCCGGAGGGTGAGTTTACCCTCCAGGGCCTGATGGTGTGACTGGTGTCACAGTTTCTCAGTAGTGAGTGGGCCTGATGACCTTGGCCCACTCGGTTATCGTTAAACAGATGTTGGATGATTGTCTGGGAATTATACCGGACATACCACCTGTTTGGGAGTAATCCCGGACTTGTTACCTAGGATATCCTGGGTGTGGTTTTGCCTGGAGCTTGCTCTGGCACTTGTATTTCTTGGGCAGTTAGCCCGGGAGGGTGTTTACAGCGCCCCGACGTTGGAGATGGTTCCGGACCCTCTTTCCTGTGGTAGACTCCAGCCTTTCAAAGAAAACAGGGGGAGTGTAGTATCTGTGCGACTGTCCCGTGGTACGACTTACTGTCTGTATTGCGTCAGGCGGCGGGACAGTCGCACGGACCTCTTCTACACGAGGATGCCGAGCTGACAGGACGTGTCAGGGACAGCAGCGGAGCAGGGAGTCGGCCCGGGCCAGAACCTACGGATAAGTTTGTGATTGTATATATTGTTAATAAATATAGTAAAGAACCACAAAGACTTTATTACAATATCATTGCCTTATATAACCCAGTCTTACAACAGATATAACAAAGTTACTACACAGCATAATTCAGACAATACAAACAATATCCCAGTCGCTTTACAGGAGCTAACAAATCCCCTTGCCCAACACTGGGGGACTAGTGAATTTTAGGGATAGGAAAGTGAATTTTTATTAACCACTTGAGCGAGGGTTAGAAATTTTTTCATGAAAAAAAAATTAGTCCCTGAACAACATAACCCAGTCACAAAACAACATACCAAAGTCACAAAGAAACATAACCCAGTCACACAGCAACATAACCCGGTCACAGAGAAACATAACCCAGTCACTGAACAACATAACCCAGTCACAGAGAAACATAACCCAGTCACAGAACAACATAACCCAGTCACAGAGAAACATAACCAAGTCACAGAGAAACATAACCAAGTCACTGAACAACATAAGCCAGTCACAGAACAACATAACCCAGTCACAATGAAACATAACCCAGTCACAGAGAAACATAGCTGAGTCACTGAACAACATAACCCAGTCACAGAACAACATAACCCAGTCACAGAACAACATCACCCAGTCACAGAGAAACAGAACCCAGTCACAAAACAACATAACCCAGTCACAGAGAAACATAATCCAGTCACTGAACAACATAACCCAGTCACAGAGAAACATAACCCAGTCACAGAACAACATAACCCAGTCACAGAGAAACAAAATCCAGTCACAGAACAACATAACCCTGTCACAGAGAAACAGAACCCAGTCACAAAACAACATAGCCCAGTCACAAAACAACATTACCCACTCACAGAGAAACATAACCCAGTCACAGTGAAACATAACCAAGTCACAGAGAAACATAAAATATCAAACTTATCATTGTGGTTGGGTGTGGGCGGGTGTAATATGTTCCAGTCACAGAGAAACATAGCTGAGTCACTGAACAACATAACCCAGTCACAATGAAACATAACCCAGTCAAAGAGAAACATAGCTGAGTCACTGAACAACATAACCCAGTCACAAAACAACATAACCCAGTCACAGAACAACATTACCCAGTCACAGAGAAACAGAACCCAGTCACAAAACAACATGATCAAGTCACAGAGATACATAACCCAGTCACTGAACAGCATAGCCCAGTCACAGAGAAACATAACCCAGTCACAAAACAACATAACCCACTCACAGAGAAACATAACCCAGTCACTAAACAAAATAACCCAGTCACAGAGAAACATAACCCAGTCACAGAAAAACATAACCCGGTCACAGAGAAACATAACCCAGTCACTGAACAACATAACCCAGTCACAGAGAAACATAACCCAGTTACTGAACAGCATAACCCAGTCACAGAACAACATAACCCAATCACAGAACAACATAACCCAGTCACAGAGAAACAGAACCCAGTCACAGAATAACATAACCCAGTCATAGAACAACATAACCCAGTCACAGAGAAACATAACCCAGTCACAGAGAAACATAACCCAGTCACAAAGAAACATAGCTGAGTCACTGAACAACATATCCCAGTCACTGAACAAGATAACCCAGTCACAGAACAACATAACCCAGTCACAGAACAACATAACCCTGTCACAGAGAAACAGAACCCAGTCACAAAACAACATAACCCTGTCACAGAGAAACAGAACCCAGTCACAAAACAACATAGCCCAGTCACAAAACAACATAACCCAGTCACAGTGAAACATAACCCAGTCACAGAGAAACATATAATATCAAACTTATCATTGTGGGTGGGTGTTTGCGGGTGTAATATGTTCCTAAGACTTTTCTTGTTTAACAGTATGCTAAAGATTTCAAAGGAAAACTGACAAAAATTTTGGAATTAGTAGAGGTGATGAAAATTAATGATGGACATTGAGAGCAACCTTAAATTAAGTTTAAATTGTACCCACTGCTGCCAGTGAGATTACATAACATGATGGTTTGATTCAATGAGATATATCATATAAATTGCTGATATTTTTGCCCACTGGGAATTCATATTTTTGTTTTTCCACTGGGAATTCAATTTTTTTTTTAATCACAGACATTTTAAATTGAATTTTTCATTGATGATTGATATAAGTAGTTTTGTTTTCTCTAAATTCATCAGAGTTATTTAAACTTGCTTTACAGGAGTTATGAACCACACTGTAGACATCTATCATGGATTGAGCAGAGATGATTTAACCAATCATAATTTGATGGAAAACTGTTTAAAGAGGTAGCATACATTCATACATGTACCAGTAACCTTTGGAGATAAGGGTAATTTATGATGCTTGTCTTGCAGATTATCCATGTATTTGTTTTGTATTAGAGTTTAATGAAAGACAATTTTATAACAGAGATTTTTGTAATATTAATGAGAGACAATTTTACCTTAGCCTTTGAATTAGCCAAATTGTCATAAAGACTAGTAGACAAATTCATAAATGTTGTACTTCTTGGACCTTAAATGTCATTAACATTCAAATGAATATATATGCATAAGACCCATTCTTGTATGCCTGTCTACTATAGTGAAACTAATTAATGCAAGGATTTCATGAAATAGACACTATATCTCTAAGCAAATTCCACTTTCACTTTTTAGCAGTCAGATAGGCTAAAGTATAACACTCAGCATCCTTCAGTCTACTTGATGGTTTTTCTTAGGGGTCTCCAGTGAAGACTCTCCACAGTTCTTTAGGATTTTGAGTTTGGAAGACTCCAAAAATGGAAAGCTGATGGCAGCACTGGAAAATAAGTATGTTAGGCCATCTTTGAAAAAAATGTTTGTGTGCCCTCTCCCAACCAACTGACTAAAAAGGGCCTGACTTAATTTTTTTAACCTCCAGGAAACTTTTTTTACTATTAATTTCGAAGTTTTCTCACTAATAACATATATAAAGAACTATCTGAACCTCATATTCACAAGCATTTTTTGAATTAAAAAATATTTCCCCTACATGCCTACCCATTTTTTTTTATCCTGAGTCAGGAGAGAGCAAGCAAACATTTTTGGCTCACCTGAGCTAAAAGCTTAAGTGAGCTTTTCTGATAACATTTTGTCTGGCATTTGTCTGTCTATCTGTAATCTTTTTACATTTTTGACTTCTTCTCAAGAACCACTGGGCCAATTTTAACAAAACTTGCCGCAAAGCATCTTTTGGTAAAGGGAATTCAAATTTATTCAAATGAAGGGCCATGCCCTCTTTCAAGGGGAGATAATTAAGAATTGGTCAAAATTTGATGTCATCTTTTGAAAATCTTATTCTCAAGAACCATTTGCCCAGAAAAGTTGAAACTTACATGAAACCTTTATTACATAGTGTTAATTTAGATTTGTCCAAATCTTGACCTGTTTGGGGTAGGGGATGGGGGCAAAACGGGGGATTGAAACTTTACATAGGAATATATTGAAAAAAAATCTTTAAAAATCTTATCAAGAAAAACAAAGACATGATTAGTCATATAAGTATGGAAACATCCTCAGGTAGTGTAGATTCAAGTTTGTTCAAAACATGACCCCTTGAGGTAGGGTAGGGCCACAATGGGGGATCTAAGTTTTACATAGGGATGTATAGGAAAAATCTTTGAAAATCTTCTTCTCAAGAACAACAAAGCCAGGATTGGTCATATTAATATGGAAGCATCCTCAGGTAGTGTAATTTCAAGTTTGTTCAAAATTCCCCCCACCCCAAGGGTAAAGTGGGGCCACAATGGGGGATCAAAGCTTTATATGGAAATATAAAGGGGTAGCATCCTCAGGTCGTGTAGAATCTAGTTTTTTTTTTCAAATCATGACCCCTGGGGGTAGGGTGGGGCCATAATGGGTTATCTAAGTTTTACATAGGAAGTATCTTCAAAAATCTTTGGACCAGTCACGATAGCGTAGTAGTAGGACATTCGCTTCATGATCGGGAGGAGGGGTTCGATTCTCTTTCATCGCACTGTGTCAAACCTAAGACGTAAACATAAGACGTGACTGTTCCTTTGCCAAGCACCTGGCACTAGAAGTGAAAGTCACCAGTTTTTTGGATGAGACCTTAAAAACCGAGGTCCCATGTCACAGTAGGTGTTGGCACGATAAAGAATCCTCACTGCTCAATAGTCCTGAATGCCGAGTATAGGTCTAAATTTGAAGCCCTTCACCGGTATATGGTGACATCTTACTATGAGTGAAAAATTTTCAAATGGGGTGTAAAACAACATACAATCAATCAAAAATCTTTGAAAACAGCTAAGCCATGATTGGTCATATTTATATGGAAGCATCCTCAGGTAGTGTAGATTCAAGTATGTTCAAATCATGACCCTCGGGGGTAGGGTGGGACCACAATGGGTGATGAAAGTTTTACATAGGAATACATAGGAAAAATCTGAAGAAGAACAGCAAAGCCATGATTAGTCATATTTATATGAAAGCATCCTCAGGTAGTGTAGATTCAAATTTTTTCATTCCCCCAGACTACTTATATATTTAAGCTTTTCTGCTTCTTCCTAGCCAAAGTGTTCAGGGGAGCAATGTGGCCCACGGGCTTCTTGTTATTGAATAATTTGCAATGGTTACACTAACATTTTTTTTAAAATGGGAAAAAAAAAGGAATTTTATGATTTTCTTAACTCTCTTAACTTTTTTTTAACATATGATATTTCATTGATCATCTGAATAATTTTATTCTCTTTCAGGACAGGACAGAGGTTTAATGATGGGGTCTGATATTCTAAGGAGGTGTTGCTTGTAGAAGCTAGGATCATTGCTTCCATTGTCGATAACACACAGAAAGAGGTTTATGTGATCAGGTTATGGTTCTCAACGACCCAGACACTTTCTAGACCTTGTGCAAAGTTGTAACTATCTTATTTGTGCAATATACATAATTTTCATGTAAACCAAGGACATTGTCATATCCTTTTAGGAGATTGGAGACAGCCCTTCAGTGAGGGATGGACTTTATTAATATAAATGATGTGATACTCTAACTCACTAATTGTATTATAAAAGATGTGCACACTAAGTATCAATAGCTTTTACCATCTCGGCTCTGAGACCTATGAAATGATTATGGTTCATAATCATAATATAATTATAATCATAATCATATGATTATGGTGATAATGATTATGTGAGTTTTCACCATCTTGGCTCCAAGTAGCTGCAGAACTGTAGCTCTCCGAAAAAAAAATTGACAGACCGGAGAGCTACAGTGCCATCCATTGAAAAAACTGTATATTTATTGCGCACAAAAAGTTGCGCTCTTCTGGATTTATTTCTCCAAATTCTTAACCTCAACTGCACAAAAGCTCAATTTCAAAAAGAATCCTTAGACCTCTATCAACTACTCTTGTAGTTGACATCTTTACGAAGCGAATTTGGCTGAAATGTCTATCCACAAAAAATGGCAGTATTTACAGGCGAAATTTTGGATGGTCTCAATTTCAGGCAAAGGAGGGCTATTAACAATGGTTATAGGAAATGTTTTGATGTGGGAATAGTGACAAAATGAGTTAGGAACACACGGTCAGTAATATTTTGAGACTGCAGTTTAAAAATATGGAGAAATAAATCGAGAAACAGCACACTTTTCTGTGCGCAATAAATATACACTTTTTTTCAATGGGTGGCACTGTAGCTCTCTGGTTGTCCATCCCAATTTTTTCAGACCAGCAAGCTACAGACCTGCAGCTAGGCTCCAAGACCTCAAGCCAATGTACCATTGTTTTACTCAAATGTTTTTGTTGTGATTTTTTTTTTAATAATAAATCTTTATAAACTTTCAAGTCTTCTTAGTCCAAACACATTCTGCTATATGATGTCTAAGCATGCATGTGATTTACCTTTAGTTAGATAAACTCAGCTAATTGTGGGTACACTCAATTCACATCCACACTAGGATGGTATTATCATTCTAATTTGAAAAACAATGAAAACAATGGAAGAATTCGGTAAAATTTAAATGGAAATTTGAGGGGGTAAATTAATTAGGGGCAGTTTTGGTATTGACTGCCATTAAGAGATATCATCTAATTGAACACTGAATTGGTGATATCACTTATTTGATTTGAATTGGTTATATCACCTATTCCAATACGTGATATCACCTATTTGAATTTCATTGGTGATTTCACCTATTTGAATAGGTGATATCACATTTTTGATTTGAAATGGTCCTATTCAAATAGGTGATATCATCTATTTGAATAAGTGAAACCACTTATTTGCATAACTGCTATCATCTATGCAATTTGAATGACTGATATCACCAATTCTAATAGGTGATATCATCTTTTCAAATAAATTACCTTTTCAGTTTGAAAGAGTGAAATTCTTCTTCAAAAAGGTGATATCACCTACTTGAAATTAGGTGAATTTGAAGAGTTTATGTCATCTATTAAATAAATCATCTATTAGAATAAATGATATCATCTATTAGAATAAATGATGTCACCTATTCAATTTGAGTGAGTGATATCACTTATTCAAATAGGTGATTTTACTAAATGGCCATAAATACCAAAATGGCACCTTATAGCAAGTTTGAATAAATCTTTCTTTTATGAAATGAATTTAAAATTTATTTCATAATCATGATGGGCATAACTTTCTTGATATAGTGAGGTCTTATTATTGTGATATAAATGGATTCAGGTTAGTTGATCTAGACTAACTTAACTTAGTGTGAAACAACTATGAATGACATATTAATGTGTTGAGAATGTTTGTTGAGAATGTCATCTTTGAAAAAAAGGGCACAGTTCCAAAAAGGTAAGCATTACATACTTTATGTCAAACAAATTATATACTGATATTTCTTTCATTCAGTTTTATTTTTTCCCTATTGTTTTAGTCTATCTGTATTAAAAAAATCTGCACATTGACTGGGTAAAAATATGTTATTTGAATCCATTATGTTAATTGACTGAATTCACTTTACCAATGTATATTTTGATGAATGACTGGGTGATATGATCTGCATTATGTTGTTAGGTGACTGGGTTATTTAGTTGATTAGGTCCAAAGACCATAAACTGAGAACAAACTTAAAATCAAAATTTCAAACAAATTTAACTTTTGAAATAATTCAGATAATGAAGCAAAATTTACACTATTATATACAAAACTGGAGGATTTTAAGCAAATATGTTAAATAAAAATCAAGATATTTAAAATTAAATTTTTGACTTAATTCTGTCCTCAGTTTATGGTCTTTGTTTTTCAGTGACAACATTCTGTTTCTAATTGACTGGGTTATGTTGTTCTGTGACTGGGTTATGTTTTTCTGTGACTGGGTTATGTTTGTCTGTGACTGGATTATGTTGTTCAGTAACTGGGTTATGTTTCTCTGTGACTGGGTTATGTTGTTCTGTGACTGGGTTATATTGTTCTGTGACTGGGTTATGTTTCTCTGTGACTGGGTTATGTTGTTCAGTGACTTGGTTATGTTTCCCTGTGACTGGATTATGTTGTTCAGGGACTAGGTTATATTTCTGTGTGACTGGGTTATGTTTCTCTTTGACTGGGTTATGTTTCTCTGTGACTGGATTTATGTTTCTCTGTTAATGGGTTATGTTGTTCAGGGACTAGGTTATGTTTCTCTGTGACTAGGTTATGTTGTTCAAGGACTAGGTTATGTTTCCCTGTGACTGGGTTATGTTGTTCTGTAACTGGGTTATGTTTCTCTGTGACTGGGTTTATGTTTCTCAGTGACTGAGTTATGTTGTTCTGTGATTGGGTTATGTTGTTCAGGGAATAGATTATGTTTTCCTGCGACACTGGATTATGTTGTTCAGGGACTAGGTTATGTTTCTCTGTGACTGGGTTATGTTTCTCTGTGACTGGGTTATGTTGTTCAGGGACTAGGTAATTTTTCTCTGTGACTGGGTTATGTTGTTCAAGGACTAGGTTATGTTGTTCTGTGACTGGGTTATGTTGTTCAGTGACTGGGTTATGTTGTTCTGTGACTGGGCTATGTTGTTCTGTGACTGGGTTATGTTGTTCAGGGACTAGGTTATGTTTCTCTGTGACTAGGTTATGTTGTTCAAGGACTAGGTTATATTTCTCTGTGACTGGGTTGTGTTGTTCAGTGACCGGGTTATGTTTCTCTGTGACTGAGTTATGTTGTTCTGTGATTGGGTTATGTTGTTCAGGGACTAAATTATGTTTCTTTGTGACTGCGTTATGTTGTTCTGTGATGGGGTTATGTTGTTCAAGGACTAGGTTATGTTTCTCTGTGACTGGGTTATGTTGTTCTGTAACTGGGTTATGTTTCTCTGTGACTGGGTTTATGTTTCTCTGTGACTGGTTTATGTTGTTCTGTGACTGGGTTATGTTGTTCTGTGAGTAGGTTATGTTTCTCTGTGACTGGGTATGTTTCTCAGTGACTGGGTTATGTTGTTCTGTGATTGGGTTATGTTGTTCAGGGACTAAATTATGTTTCTTTGTGACTGCGTTATGTTGTTCTGTGATGGGGTTATGTTGTTCAAGGACTAGGTTATGTTTCTCTGTGACTGGGTTATGTTGTTCTGTAACTGGGTTATGTTTCTCTGTGACTGGGTTTATGTTTCTCTGTGACTGGTTTATGTTGTTCTGTGACTGGGTTATGTTGTTCTGTGAGTAGGTTATGTTTCTCTGTGACTGGGTATGTTTCTCAGTGACTGGGTTATGTTGTTCTGTGATTGGGTTATGTTGTTCTGTGACTGGGTTATGTTGTTCAGGGAATAGATTATGTTTCCCTGTGACTGGATTATGTTATGTAGGGACTAGGTTATTTTTCTCTGTGACTGGGTTATGTTGTACAGGGACTAGGTTATGTTTCTCTGTGACTAGGTTATGTTGTTCAAGGACTAGGTTATGTTTCTCTGTGACTGGGTTATGTTTCTCTGTGACTGGGTTATGCTAGTCTGTGACTGGGTTATGTTTCTCTGTGACTGGGTTATGTATCTCTGTGACTGGGTTATGTTGTTCAGTGACTGGGTTATGTTTCTCTGTGACTGGGTTATGTTATTCAGTGACTAGGTTAGGTTGTTCTGCGACTTAATTGGTTATGTTTCTCTGTAACTGGGTTATGTTGTTCTGTGACTGAATTATGTTGTTCTGTGATTGGATTGTGTTGTTCAGAGACTAGCTTATGCCATCATTATCAGGTAATGTTCAGTGACCCGTTTACTGTTTTCAACAAGTGTCAAATAAAAACATTACTTCTTGCAAACCTGCAGGCCAAGATTTGTTTAGATTTTCTCATCTGTTCAATAAAATATTTATATGCTTCCTATATGGGCGGGATATTTTATACCCCCCCCCCCATGCTCTACCGGATCTGCCAAAGGATGATTAAGATTTTAAAATGAAATCTATTTCGTACAATATACAAACTAGGACTTTTTTTTCATTAATTAGGCCTATTATCATTACTGGGCTATAAAACGTAATCTGCTGATTTATATTTAAGTTATAAGTACTAAATATAACAATCGTTATGAAAGCCGACCATTCGCCTGAATATTCCATCTCCAATTATAGTTTTATTGTTCGTGCTAGATCAGTAGATGCCACATATAATCATAACGATAATGTTTACAAATGTATATTGCATCGGGATCGAACATGTTTTATATTAGAAAAAGCCATACCGGAAATAATTTTTCCGGAATCCGTGACTGGGTTAAGGCTCCACCTGGGACCTTATCAAAAAAATTTAGTCGCCAATGCAAATTTTAAGTCGCCAGGCAATTTTTTTATCGCCAACTTTAAAAGTTACATGTAATAGTAATCAATATAGAGACCATTGATGTGACTTAGAAAACACGGCATGTCCACTGCTAAAAACAATTTCCTCTTCTTTTAAATTTCTTTTTACTTTTTCAGACAAAATGTTAAAAATGTTAAAATTTACGGAATCCGACGATTGCCAAGTCACTTGAAAATGGTCGCCAATTTGGCGACTTATGGAAAATATTTAGGCGCCAATCAAAAAATTTAGGCGCCATGGCGACTAAATTAGTCGTCAATACGAAACTTCCGAGATACCGGGATATAGCGGTTTTCGTTCTGATTTTATACACCGTTGTCACGTGATAATGCTGAAATGTAGGGCATATTTTGTTGACATCGAAACAAAATGGAGCGTAACGTGGCAGACGAAAACAAGCCCCAAAAGAGAAAAAGTGAGAAGAATGGAGACGAACCAAGTCATTATTGGTGTTCGGTGCCGGGTTGCACATCAGATGGCAGGAAAAAGGCAAATTTAATTAAATATCCGTGGATGATAGGAGTGCAGTTCTATCCATATCCAGGAGCTAAACGTAAGGCAAAGCTGAGAAAGAGGTGATTGCAGCAGGTTTTCAGGGATGAGAAATATGCTCCAAAACGCTACCATTCGGTATGTTCACGACATTTCATAGATGGTTGTCCAACAGAAGAAAACCCCGTTCCTACTTTATTTCCGCGCAATAAAATCGTCAAACATTCCAGAACTACAACCTCTATAGAGAAACGTCAACAGACCAGGTGTAACTCTTCGTCGGATTCAGCTACAGCAGTGGAGAAGTCAGATGTTCATTCTACCCAGTGTTCACCAATAGAATGTTTATCGGTATTGTAAATAATTGATTTTATTCCTACATCGAAAATTTTATGTATGTAAATATACACATGTATCATGATCAGACTCAGAGACATAATATTAAATGACTGTCTCTGCATGACATATACATAACTCATAAAAGTTAGCTTAAACATATAATAAATATATTAAAAAAGCATTACATGTATATTTATATAA